TCTGAAATATCCTTCACACCTTTGCCTTGCATAAGGATAATCCTGTGGAGCTGATAGGCGAATCTGAGTCCCTGAGGTCTCTGCAGCTGTGTCACAGCAGGTTTGAAGAATTGTAGCTTTGGTGCTACTTATATTCACTTCCATCAGTCATAATGCAGCCAGGCACAGCATCAGGTAAATTCACTGATTATGTTCCTCCTGCAGGGTGAAGGTGTGTAAAGCAGGGCACAGAGAGAAAGACTTGGTGTAATAAGTTTAATAATCTTTAACAAATATCAGCATGTGAAAGCAGAATCTATAGGCAACAGGACAAGATTTTGGTTTCAGAAACATTTGCAGATCGAGTAGTATTGACCAGTCATGCTTGAGTTGGCTTTACTTGCTTGTACAATCCATGTGGAGAGCAAAAGAGGCAGAATGCATTGGCCAAAATGGTATCCAGAACCCACTGGCTATCGTCTGACAGCAATTCAGTTTTTTATTTACTTATCTGTGTTGATAAGCAGATATCTGTTTATAGAGATTAGCTGAAATTATTGTCTGGACCTGTTTCTAGTTGCTAATTTAACTTTAAACAATGATTGGCGCAGTAGAAGAAGTTTTGGCCTGGATCTCTGCTGACTGATCACCAGAACCCCTGAAATATTGGCCATTGCCCCCAGAGGCTGTATTGTCATCAGGCCGAAAGCTGATGGGTTCCAAGATTCCATATTTAATGATTGACTTATGCAGATTTGTCGTCTTTGTTCAGATTTCCTTCATTAAATGAAACATTCACCAACTTTTATGTGAACGTCCAATCATCCAACCATCAGTGGTAAATGTAGTCAGTTAAAGCAATAAATTCCTCAGTGTGTATTATAGATGGAGAAGCTTAGTTCTCCTGCTTGCGGAGCCATGCCAGCACATGTACCAGAATACATTGTACACAAGCTACTGACGCCGGGCCAAAACATAGTGTAGCCTGCTGTTGCACAAGATAAAATAAAACCACACAGGCTCCGTAATCCGAACCACCGTGAACCAAGGCTGCAACAACGCTCTTATTTTCTACGCTGTCAGTGGCAGCACATTATAGCTTCACTCCTTCTGGTTTTACCATTCACAATAAAATTGAATTCCACTCAGCCTTCAACTAATAGGCATCTAGGCATGAGTCAATACGGCTGAATATCCAAGTCAGCCAAATCACTGTAAAAATAAACCCACTATAGAATGTATCGTCATCCATAGTATCCTATTTTGGGATGCCATTTTCACTGTTAAACACATAGCTAGATTGTGAAGAGATCAAGGGAGTTTTGTTTTTGAGTGGCATCCAGAGCACGACATCTATTCAAGCTGAAATAGCTTGTCACTCTTCATCCTTCCAACTACATCACTGCCACATCAAACGCAGGGCGGCATGCAGGAAGAACAGTTTTTGTAGCTGCTTAACTCCGCCTTTTCGGTCAATGTAGCAGGCACTGAGGAAATTATTGCTACAATTGACTACATTACTATCAACACTGATTGGACATCAACACTGCGTAATGTTTAAATTTGTTGACATGCTGAAACAAACCATGAAACACCGTTCCCATAATCATGACAGCTCAGACTAGAGTGTGGTTTCACCTCTTGCAGCCATCCTGGTACCTTCTGGAGACAGAAAATAAAGTATTAGTCTGTCAGTTAAGAAAACATATCCTCCCTTTTTATCTCAGTATATTTTTGATTAAAAAAAATGACTGCTTTGAGATTGAACAATGATATATATTATCTGAAGGAAGGTTAAAGTTATTCCAAAACCAAATGAAAGATTATTAAACCTTCAGTACTGTTGGTCAATTGAGATGTGTGTCATTTGGGATAAGTTTGAAAAGAGGTAATGAGTACCACAAGTCAATAAACACCAACATGCAACCCATGTAGCCCTCACACATTGATTTTGATGAAACCAGTTTTCACATTCTTGCATGTGCAAACAAAATGCAGTTGTGAAGACTAGAGGTGAAGATGGAAACAGGTCACCACATCTGTGGTACTAAGTAGTTTTGTCATGACTCTTGAATTTCTAACGTTAATAAAATACCTGGAAAAATATCGATATTCAGTACCATTTTCGATACCATGGAGAAAAATTGACATTGAGGGAATAAAATTATTTTTTTTATTCTAAGATAAATATAGCAAGACTATAAGTGATATTTTTGGTGAAACCAAAAGTCAACATTGAGTTATTTAACATAGCAGTATATATGTTAGGTAGCCAAGTCCTGTAACAGACATTTATTTTATCCCAGAACCATGATGATTTTTTTAGTTTTGGACTTTAGGAATTTTATCCAGGACACCGCTGTTTGTGTTGTGTGTGAAACCAAAAGTCTGCTTTGAGATATTTCAACCTAACCTTACATAAATTAAATAGCCTACATGTATTCACATAGTTACATCACGTCACATATTAACATCACGTTAAACCTGAAACAAACATACTTATTTTAATCCAAACTATGATGTTTTTTCTAAACCTAACCATTTAGTTTTGTTGTCTAAAACTAAGCACGACAGTTTCACAATGTTAGCCACATGTTGCAACATGTTTAACCAAAAAGACCGCTGCATGTTTCATACAGACGCTAAAGGGTACCTTGCATGTTAATATCAGATTTGACTACCTGGGACAGAACAGAACAGGTTGTCCCAATATGTGCCAACTCTCTTGATGGCTTGATTTTCACAGACTACTGCCAACTCTTCTTCTTAAAGATGAGCACGCCAAATGTGTGGGGTTAAAACTGTTGTGTTTTCCTGGATTTAGTGAGTTAAGTCACCTGCTGTCCTTGGTTTGAAAAAGGAAAATGACATTTCGTGCAAAGTGCACATCTGTATTTGACATGGTGACAGTGATGTAGTGACCATGTCTGTCTGTTGTTGGGTGACTCAGCGGAAGCAGGAAGGCTTCTCACAGATGCATTGAAGCTATTCCCAAAGCATGACTTGGGAACACAATGACGACATGACATCAGTAGTGTGTGTGTGTGTGTGTGTGTGTGTGTGTGTGTGTGAACCTGCTGGTCCAAACATGCCTTGAGACATGTGTCTGTGTCACTGGTGGAGTGAGGTTTGTGTGTGTCACCGGGGCAGATGGGAGAAAAGGGTTTACATTAAGCAACATTTATGCTGATGATTGACTTTAAGCTGTGAGTCAACTGTCAACAGAACAGGATGAGTGAGGGCAGACGACCTGGTGTGCGTGTGTGTATTTGTGTGTGTGTCAGAAAGAGAAAGTGCATGTTGGCATTTAGCTCCATTTCCCACCATCTCCCTCCCTGCTTGTGTAATTTATGAATGTAACACTCGTTCATTTACAGCCAATGTGATTTATGACCAAGTAAATCATAGAATGTGACAAGACGGTTGAGTCTTTCCAATGAAATGACAGATTTGCTGGGAACCGTGTGTGTGTGAGTGTGTGTGTGAGAACCTGACAGATGACAACCTCCCACAGTTTGCATCTGCTCTCCCCCTCACATCTTAGCTCTCTCTCATATTCCCCCCATTTCATACCAACACACACCCTCTCTGTACAATTTATTCGTTCATAAAAATCCTTCACACTACCTGTCAGTTGTTGTGATGAAGGGCGGATTACGTAGCTTTCCATTTATACATCTACAAGACACTTGTGTACCTGTTACTGTGAGTATCGTACAGTATGTTTTTTACACACCCTGTATATATGCTGTTTTTTTCGGTGTCTTGAGTATTTTATTCTGATGTTAATTTCATGTTTTAAATGAAGAACATGTATTCACTCAGTCACTCTCTCCATGGTGTAGTCTATATAACCTCTGGTGGCAGTTGTCCTTTATGTCTTGTTCGTATTTGATATTCGTGTACAAACAACAACCAGTTTCCCCGCAGGGATCGCTATAGTTCTTTCATCAAATGTCAGATATAGTAAATGGGAAATGGCTGCTTTTCTCTGACACACTTTGCCATTTTCACATGCATGCATACCCACACACACACACACTCTCACACACTCTGCTTACATGGTCCATTCTTGTTTCCATCCACCGCTGCTGCACATGCACAGGTCCCTCTACTGCTGCCTTCTGCTGACACCTAGTGATTAAACCTGGCTCTGCAGGCACAGTGTGCGTTTAATATCTCCGGGAAAGGCTTCCTGAACACACCATACTCCAGGATCATTAACATCACGTGTAATGATTTTGCATCCAAAAAGAAAAAGAGGGATCAATTTATTAAGCCGCTTTTTTTTCTCCTATCTCGTCTGTCAGACAGACTGTTGGCTCTTCTCAGCAGTGTGCAGCCAAGGGAGTCTTTTCACCACAGGCAGTCCTCACTGTGTTTTTGATGCGCCCAAAATAGCTTTAACTTATATAATGACAACAGTAATTGCCTGTGGGTCAGAGGGTGGTCAAGACACGCACCACACTAATTTACTGCTTGTATTCATTCAAATATTTTCTCCACATCAATCCCTCTTTTATCTTACACTTAATCTTTTTCAAGCATTGGTGGTTGAAGTATTTTAAAAAGATCATAAGTAAAATAATGATTTTGCATTAATGTCTCCTCTCCTTTTCTCCTCCCTCCTGTTTCCTTCCCCTCTCCCATCTCCTCTCTTCTCCTGTCGCTTCTCTCCTGTTTCCTTCCCTGTCCTGTCTCCTCTCCACTCCTGTTTTCTCTCCCCTCTTCTCCTCTCTCTTCTCCCTTTCACCTCTCCCTTCTCCTCCTCTCCTCTCCTGTTTCCTTTCTGTCTCCTCTCCACTCCTTTCTCCTCCTTTCCCCTCCTGTCTCCTCCCCTCTTCTGTTTCCTCTCCTCTCCTCTCCTCGCCTCTCCTTTCCTGTTTCCTCTCCTCTCCCTTCTCCTTTCTTTTTCTCTCTCCTCTCCTCTCTCCTCCTTTCCTCTCCTGTTTCCTCTGCTGTCCTATCTCCTCTCTTCTCCTGTCCTGTTTCCTCTCCTCTCTTGTTTCCTCTGCTCTCCTCCTCCAGGCAGCTTCAGGAGCTGCAGAGGCAGAAGGAGATGGAACGGGAGCATCAGGAGCGAGAGCGTCAGGAGCGGGAGCGTCAAGAGAGGGAACGTCAAGACAGGGAGCGTCAAGAGAAGGAGCGTCAGGAGCGGGAGCGCCTGGAGCGAGAGATGCTGGAGCGCGAGCGGCAGGAGCGCGAACGTCAGGAACGGGAGCGTCAGGAGAGGGAGGCACAGGCGGAGAGGGAGCGCCAGGAGCAGCAGGAGCGCAGCGAGCGTGAGCTGATGGAGAGGGAGAAGACAGAGAGGGAGCAGCAGGAGCAGTTGGACAGAGAGCAGCAGGACTGGGAGAGAGGGAGACGCATCTCCAACGCCGGTGAGTGATGCACTTTGGTTTCTTTCTTTTACACATACATGCAAACACACTGAGTTTTTGAGGGCCAATATTGAGACTCTCAGACTGAAGATGTGCATCGTTTTAGTGTTTTACAGTATGTTACAATGTGAATGTTTACGCTGAACATCAGATCAGTGCAGGCTGTCAGAGTTTTCTTATGTGTGTTTGGTGTGGGGTCCTACAAGAAGAGAACGTGGCAAGGGCAGATTGTCAGCAGAATATTTTCATGAGGAGCTTTTAGAGTTAGTTTTTGAAAGGAGGTGGTTTGTTGTATTAAACTTGTATAAAAACTGTGATGCCAAACCTGGACTGAGTTGAATTTCAGCGTGTCCCAATTCCATACTGCATCCTACCTGTATATAGGACACACTTAATCATACATAAAACACATGAATTAGTATATATCAGTCTTAGTATACTGTTTATCCACTTTACATTAAATAAATCTTATACTGACAGGAAATGATAATATACACACAGCAGTGCATGTCAATCAAACAGTAACTTGAATGACATGACCAATTAAATTTCTCAAATAGACATCAAAATGTTTTTCCCATGATGTAATAGATTGATTATGTTTTCTGCTGTGCTGACACAAAGATGTTTTACCATCATCCACAGATGGCTTTCAAATTAAGCAGCTCTCCTATTCCCTTTGTGCATTGCATTGTGGGAGAATAGCATGTATCCCTAGCACAGTTGTGGCACTCAACCTGGGTGATTTTCACCGTCACATCGCTGCATTTCCCAGCAGCGTTTGAGCCACTGGACCCGGGTGTTTCTCACTGTCCCATCCCAGCTTTTCCAGCGGCTTTTGTGCCACCAAATGTGGCTGTTTCAAGCCAAAACATGACCTTTTCCTACACTAGGTGGCTGTTGTGCCTAAACCTGATCACACCTAAACTTCACCTCAGTGTCATTGAGAAACCTGAAGTTTTAATGTACCCACTACAAAAAAAACCTACAAGTGTAATGTATCTGTGGTTTGCAGAAACATCCAGTGGAAACATTTTTTTTCCTGATGATTGGGTTATAATTTTTGTATTTTTGATACTGTCTCCTCCACTTTGGACTGTGAACATACTTAAAACCTATTTAGATTTATTATGTGTGTATTGTGGATTTGGGATATAGCAAGGTAAACTTAAACATGATATAAATGTTGTGATGCCAATTTCTTAGCAGTCCTTTGTTTTAATTTAATCCTTGTCCATTTCCTAGCGTAGCTAATGAAGCTGGTTTCATTTCACATGGACTAGTGAAACTTTAAAGCTGTAGATGAACATGCCTCCAATAAAGAGACAGTCCTAAAATCCTCTAGACGTCGGTCTTGGGAAGTGAATACCTTCTGAGTGGAGAGCAGCTCTCCATCTGTTTTACATTTACCAGTCAGTGCTAGCTTTGTTAGCTTCCTCTATTAGTGCTACAGTATGGCCCACACTCTGCTCATCTGCCCATAGGCTGGACAGGCGCTATGAACAGATTGCTAAAGCACTGGGGCATTGGGGGGTGAATAGTCTTTGCACATGCGTTCAGGGGTGAGTGAATTATTTTTGAAACATTGCCTCCAGTCCTTACACCAGTCACACACATAACTTCGGACACTTCAAACACACATCCAAAATGAAGATGTAATCGTGGGTTTATATTTTTTACACCTTGGCATTGGAAATTATGATCTCTGCAAATCCTTCCTGGAAATACCCAGTTTATTAACTTTGATAATTATCTCCCAGTGGACTTAGTATAGCTGAAGCTTAGAGATTAAAAAGCTTAAAAATATTTTCAGTCCAGTGTAGTTAGACTTAAATCCAGCAGCAGGGACAAGATGGAGCCACAGGTGGAACACAGTGATTATAAAGTGGAGCTTTAATGGAACAGGGTTTGGTCTTGTGATAGGAAGGGAACTTTGCTGCTTTAAAGCACTGGGTCAGTAGGGAAGGCAGCGTTGTGTGGCACGCTTCAGTGCCATGCTCGGCCTATTAACATACGCATGCATAAACACACACACACACACACACACACACACACACACACACACACACACACACAAGCAGGCAGACACAGTTCAGTAGTGTTACTCAGAGGCTAAAAATACATCATCAGGGAGAATGCTGGTGAGACCCCCAGGGATATGTGTGTGTGTGTGTGTGTGTGTGTGTGTGTGTGTCCGTGCGTGTGTGTGTGTGTGTGTGTGTCCGTGCGTGTGTGTGTGTGTGTGTGTGTCCGTGCGTGTGTCCGTGCGTGTGTGTGTGTGTGAATATGCCCCAGGATAAGAGGGAGGAGTTATTTCACTTGTCATACACAATAACACACACAGAACAAACTGGATCACTGGATCACACATACACACACGTACTGTTTGAACGTGCGTGTGTGTGTTGGGTTTGATGTGAGCTTGTGATTTAACATTTAACGCTTAATAGCGCTGTTTCTTTCTTACAGGATAACTGTGTGTATCTTTGTAAGAGTCAAGGAGTCCAGTGCATCAGTGCAGTGTTTCCCATAAATTTATTTTTTTTGTGGCGTTCCCCGCAACATCAACATTGATCGATGCTTATTGGTTTTCTTTTTATACATATATATATATTTATAATAGGTAAAAGCCTATTTCATGTTAGAGCTGTGTACATTGTATTGATTCACTCAGCCCCTTCTTGCTAAGTTGTCTCTCTCTGCTTATCAGACCATAAATGAGACAAGAATTAGCTAGCTAACCTTAGCAAATCCCATGGTCACTCTGTCTCACTCCCCACCACCAGGAGACAATTTTGCAAGGAGGAGAGACAGACCTTCAGTTAGCCCCTGGAGCAACTCGAATTCAGCCAGTGCAAACCTAACCATCTAACCAAGTGGCCCCCCTCCGGGGCTGAAAAATGAAGCAAACGTGGAAGTGCCAAAAACTGCAGTTCCTTTATTGGCCACTTGAGGCTCGCCTGCGAAGCCAGTCAATACCCATGGGCCGCAATATTGTAATGCCCAACTTTACAGCAGAAATAAACGTGTTTATAGGCTGGTACAAAAAATAATTTTGCTCTTTATAGCTATTTTCCCTTTTCATGACAGCTGTATGGGGGGGTTCATTTTTTGTAACTTACCCGATTTCATTTTATTAAGGGTTTAAGTTACGCACATTTAAGGGCGGACCACTTACAGTGACAGGCTGTCTGGCGATACTGTCCTTGGCTTCTCAGTCAGATCCACCCCTCGCTCCTCCACAGCGCCAGCTTCTCATCTAAATATGGTCACTTCTGGGTCAAATAGTCCAAGATGGCGATGGCCAAAATGCCAAACTCGAGATGTCAAGATGGGATTCCACAAACCAGTGAGTGATGTCACAGTGGCTACGCCCATTACAGCAGCAAAAGAAAGTTTGCTGATCCAGTGCTGGGGTTTATGCTGGTAGAATGCCGAGTTTGAATTGCTACAGAGGCTACCTGTTCCCCCAACCCCTCACCCCACACAAATAGGATCTAATTCTGTGGGAAACACTGACTGAACTGTTAACAGACAAATTGTCCTTGAATGATTGTCATGTAATCACTACCATAGAGTAGCTGAATTGTTACGACCACTCTCACTTTCATTATTCTGGGCTCTTTATTATGTAGTTTTTGCAATTTCTTGTATAGTTGTTCACTTTTTCCTAATGGTCCTGTTGAATCGTTCTTATTTGGTGCTTCGGTTGGCTGAAATAACTACTTAGCATTGTTTAATTAGAAACACAGTGGAGTATGGCTACACATACTGAATATGTTCACTGTTACTGAGAGGAAAAAAGTGACATGCTGGACACGTTTCTCACTCAGTGACAAAAACAGTGAAATTCGAAATGTGAAGGCGTCATCTGCCTTACTCAGTGACTGTGTGTGTGTGGTTTGGGCCCATCATCATGATAAATAATGTCTTGCATCTCTTGTGTTACACACACACACCTGCACAGGAGTGTGTATTTCAAATATCACCATTGTTTAAGTGTTTCGCAGCAATTAATTGGCTTGGTTAGATTTTTGAAAACTGATTTTTTTAAGGTGGTCTGGTGGATCTACTGCTTCTTTTGCTGTTACTGCTTTTTTATGTTGAAGTTGTCACTGAAGTTGGTTTGCTGCAGAGGAGCTTGGCTGCGGTATGGCTTTGTTGTCCTCTCATGTGTGTGCATGTGCGCTTAATATTCCTGTATGCACGTGGCCAGCGCTGCGTGAAATCAGTGTGTTCTGATCGTGTGATGATTGTTGTGGAATGGCAGAGCAAAGCTGGGGCCTCTGAGTCACATGACCCGCCCAGAGCTACAGAGAGACAGAGGGGGAGAATGAAAGAAGAGGGGGTGGTGGAATGATGACAAAATGTGGAAAAGGTCAAAGTTTAGTGAAAGAAGAAGACGATCAGAGAGAAAATGAAGATGATAGTATAGTATAGTGTAGTGGTGTGAAGAGGTTAAAGTTGGCCAGAGGAAGAAGTAAAGCGCAAAGAGTAATTCAGGTTTAATGAAAAAGAGATGTAAGAGAGAACTTGTGTGTGTAGTGGAGTGGAAGTCGGGATGAGCATTGACTCCAGTTAGAGAGGATAAATGGTAAATGCAGTATGAGCTGTCAGACCGCTCAGCTGGGAGGAACAGAAGTCACACAGAGGAGGAGGAGTTGGAAAAGAGCCAGGCAGTCTCACGAATCCATCAGGTTATCTGTCTTGTGACTGCTGGTTAGGTGTTCACGTGAATTCCACTCCTGGTCCTGCTGTGTGTGTGTGTGTGTGTGTGTGTGTGTGTGTGTGTGTGTGTGTGTGTGTCTGACCCAACAGTCAGGTTAGTGTTGTGGTGTGTATGTGAGAGAGAAGGTGTGTGTCATGTCTGATTATGCATGCATATGTATGTGTAAATTTGAACCATGTCTGTGAGTAAATGTGTCAGGTAAGGGAACATGAGTGGAATGGACATATGTCTGCGACTTCCAGCAGCCCATTAAAAAAAACCCTCAGAACATAAAGTATGAGACAGAAACATGAATATTATGCCAGTGTTATGGCTTACTCTCCAATGCAAAAAGTAACACATATCAACCCTAAACAACAAATTTCATTCCAATAACAAGAATAAGCACTGCAGGAAAGTGTAGAATGACATCACTCGTAAGAGGAAGTAGAGCAGAAGGTGAATAGTGGATTAACAACTTTACACCATCCCCACACACACAGAAAACATATGGCAGCTCCATATAACACTGTCAAGGTTACGCTAAGCGCTAGAGGATCACATAAACAAACACAATCAAGGTAATTAGTTGGAGAGAGCTTGGCTCAGCTGGGATAGACACATAGTGAAACAGAGGAGGGATTTAAGGCAGAATCACCACATTTAAATGGTATGTGACAGTAAGTCCTCCCACTCATTCCATATAAACTCCATATAAAAGTATACAATAAGTTATAAAATACCATTAAGACCTGTAAAGTAAAGAGATGGGTGTAGTGTGATTATAAAAGTGAATGGCACATAATAAAATGTAATAAAATATAGCCCAACACTACTCACTGTACTGGAAATGCATAGAAAAAGATAAAGCAAAGAGGACATTCACTTCGCAGGGAAAGACAAGACTGTCCCATAGGTTGTTTTTATAAGCAGCTTATTACAACCTACATTTATTGTTAGGCATCTACCTCTAGTGGCCCCAGTAGCTATCACAGGAGCAAAGCAGGAAGTCAGGTGATGTAGGATAAAGGGCGACAAAGTTGAGGTAGACGGATGGGTTAACCAGACACAGGACTTTCACCCAGGAGACAGGTATTTGTGTCCTGTGTGAAACCAAACATCAATGTTGAGTTATTTAAACCAGTAATATAGTTTGTCATGTGACATATTTCATGTTATGTTATGTTAGTGAGAATGTATTTATTTAAACCCGAACCACAAATTTTTGTCTAAGCCTAACAACATAGTTTTGGTGCAACTACAATTGTTTCAGGTTACCTACGTGTTTAAAACTGCGACCCTGAACCTTCATATACAAGCTGTTCTGTTGTTTGCCACCAGTAGTAGCAGTCATTTATGAAGCACTCCTGTGGGTCACATTAGAGGATGAGAACAAACTAATTATGTGATCGTATGGGTTGGAGGACCTCATTTGAACAGGAGTGATCTCTTTCTTTTAACTGAGATTGCTAAAAGAGTGACATTACACAAAGTAACAGTATGAATAAGTGAAAAGGGTTCACAGCACCTAGAACATCATCCTCACTTAAAAAATATGGCAGCATTTCTAAAATAGCACTAGGAGTCTGCAGGCATGCTGGTGGTTCTTTTTGTACTCAGGCACAGCAATGCTGCGAGCTAAATGCTAATGTCAGTATGCTAACATGCTGAAATTAAGCAGTGATAATGCTTGCCAGATTAACAGTCATAGTTGAGAGTTGTAGTATGCTAACATTTGCTAATTAGCACCAAACATGCTGTTGAGAAAAGTTTGCCTAGGGGGCTTTCTGCCAAAAAAGGGATTTCTTGGCAAAGGGTAAGGGGAAAAAGCCTATTTTAGGTTAAAATGAATAAACTGAAGCCCTCTGGTCAAACTTCTCCCATTTGCACTAAATGCAAAGTATAGCTGAGGCTGATGGGACCGTCTGTAGTTTTGGGTCATAGGAATTGAACACATTTTAATTCTGACCTGATGATGACACGAGAGACGGGGATCACCTAATTTTATGGGATTCCTCCTCTCAGAATATCATGGCAATCCATAAAGTAGATGTTAAGTGATTTGAGTCTGGACCAATGTGATAGACTGACAGAAAGACCCACATTGCCATCTCTAGAGTTGTGCTGCTGCAATAGCATGTCTAAAAATGGAGGAAAAAAAAAGTAGTTTGTTTAAATGGATTTGCATCAGCTTGCCCTGGAATAATGAGGAACTAATGGGAGATTGGAAAGCTGATGACTTTACTCAGAAGGATGCAGAGTTCACCAGAACAGTTCTGTAGTCTAAACTAGAAGTTAATGTGTTTCATTAACATTAAATTCATGTTTTGAGTGTGTTTTGGAGTGTCCCCTAGTCTTTTGGAACTCTATTCTTATTCTCATTGCAAATAAGACCACCTCTGCGGTCACAATCAAACTGACAGTGTAAAAGTAGAGCCTACAAAGGTCAAAGATGAGTTGCTAATTGCAAGCTGTCAGGGTACCGACAACAATCTGATTGGTTGAAAGACATCTATTTATGAATTCATAGTCCTCTTAATTACAGTTGATGTCACAGTTTTCAACAATATTCTGCCACAAACCAGGTTTACACATGTTGTATGATAATGTACATGTGAGCATGAGAACACACACATAGACATAGGTGGCACATAGACCAGGTAGACACGCACATGCTCCACTGAATTTACTTGCAGTATTTGTTTTGATTGTTGGATGTGATATTGGTTCCAGAGTTATTCTGTTCCACTTGTTGTTGGCTTACTTTATTTTGATGAGTGTTATATGAAGTGGTGCGTGTTGGGCCTTTGGGTACATTTGTTTAAATCTGTATGTGACTTAGTGTCTTAGTGCTGATTGGACAAGCTTGATGTCATTGGTGATAAGTTGCATCTACTTGGTCACTATTCTATGGTTGTGTGCTACATGGTAAACTCTTGCTCCTCAGTTTCCCCTCTTCTCCTGCAAACAGGCTTTGTGTCTCTGGCTCTGTCCACAGTGCTAACACCTGTCCACTAACACAGTAGCATCACCTCAACCCGAGACAATACACACAACCTGGAATAAAACTTTGGTATAGCTCTGTGCTGGTTTTTCCTGCTTCATCTGCCCCCTTCTCTTTTTTCCTCCCTCCCTCCCTCCTTCCTTCTCTCTCTCCTGACCTGCTGTCTTTCCCTCCTGTATGCATGACGGCTGCTTCCTTCCTACCTTCTTTCCTTCCTTCCTTCCGTCACTCCTTCCCTTCTGTCCTGTCTTGTCTTTGATTGGTTTCTCCATTCGCGTGGCATACATTTAGCTTTTGAAAGCACCCTGTACACTCCCACGCCTCAGGAGTACAGCAGGACGTCCTCCACGCCCGTATCCCCATCCACGCCCACTTATCCAGCACCTGGGACGCCGTCACCCTCCTCCACAACTCCACCAACCCCACCTCTAAGGCATTCGGCCTCCCGATTCGCCACCTCGCTCGGTTCTGCCTTCCACCCAGTCCTGCCTCACTACGCCACGGTCCCGAGGCGACAGCAAGCGTTCCCCCAAGCCCCGCCTCCTGCTCCGGCCCCTGCCCCTGCCCCGCCTCCTCCACCAAAGTCTGTCGTTTGGTCAACTTGCAACTTCACTCCCTTGCCCCCCTCGCCCCCTGTCATGATAAGCAGCCCCCCGGGGAAGGCTGCAGGTCCACGGCCGCTCATCCCGATCGCAGCACCTTCTCCTCTCACCCAGAAGCCCCCCTCACCGGCCCCTAACGGCCCACCCATGTTCCCCGCACCTTCTCCTGTGACCATCCCGCACAGCCACACCCCTATCGGCATCGCTTGCCCCACCCCGCCTCCCCCACCCACCCCACCCCCTCTCCCCTCCCCCATAGCTCCCCTTCCGTCTTCCTCCTTCGTCTCGTCTCCCCCCTCCTCATCCCAGGCTCCTGGTGTGCCCTCTCCCTCCACAGCACCCCCTGCTGCCGCAGCCGCCGCCACCTCTGCCTCTGCTGAGCACCTCTCCCTCCCCGTGGGCCTGGGCCTGTCGGGGCCGGGGGAGCCGGACACCGCTACAGGCCCAGAGACCCACCTTCCTCAGGGGGGCTTCTCCTGTCAGTCCCAGGGTAAGGCCTCCAGTCCAGACTCTTTTCTCTCTCTCTCACTACCTCTCTCCCCTCTCTGTCTCTCACTGCTATGTGACTCACACACTAACAGGGGGGCTACTGAACACGGTTGGATCTGTTACCGTGCCACTGAGCTGGCCACAGCACAAAGTGAGCCCCGTAATACAGGCTGATATCAGAGGGGAAAGTGTCGGGTCTGACTCCTCCTCAACAACCCTGGCTGTAGTTTCTGACATTCAAACAGCTGCTGTGGTGACTGTTGTGGGATCTCCTGGTGTAGAAGTTACTGTTGCTCAGGCCTGTCTAATTTCTCTGTCAGACTCATAAACTGCATGTATGTCCATGTGTCTGTCTGACTGTTCATTGGATATGACGTATGTGTGGTTTTTCAGCATGGCATGTCTATCTGTATGATAGTGATCTATTATTACTTCATGGATACAGATCACTGACTGAAGTCTGCATAAAACCACAGCCTTTGTCATCTCCTGGTTAATGTGTTTTTCTTTTGTCAGTTCATTTCTCAGTCATAGTTCTGAATTTTTATCACCTCTGTGTTGATTTTATGATTTTTGCCATTTGGTTTTCCCTCATTTGACTTTGCATTTCCTTCAGTCAATGTGCAGTCTAACTAAATACAGTCTAACTTATTGTATCAAGTCACAACAGGATTCTCTCTCTTATTGAGACACCAGTAGATCACTGGCTGTCCTACGACATGTCACAGGAAGGGGAACATCAAGCTTGCCCCTGAGACACTAAACTTGAGCAAATCTTGTGCTTATTGGTTTCATCTACCAAATTAAATATTCAAAATGGCTGGGCAATATGGAGAAAATCCAATTTCACAATGTTTTTAAACAGGTACCTCAGTGCTGATAATGTGACCATATTGTAGGATTGACTGTTGGTGCTTTCACAAAATTTTTACATTGAGATTTTTGATAAATACTCATCAGCAATGTGCATATACTATATGACTATACTGTAATGCTGCCTTTAAACACTTAAAATATTACGATAACCAAAATCTAAGACGATAAATAACACAATATCGATATATTATTGATACATTGCCCAGTCCTAATATTCACTGTAATAGCTTTCTTTTTGAATTCATTTTAATTTCTTTCATGAATATTTATGTGATAAGAAACTTTAAATTTGTCTTGAAATGAATAATCAGACAAGCAACATTTATATGTAAAAACACCAATGCTCCAGTGACCCTTGGCATTTCTCTTATTAGCCTCGGGGGCTGTTCTAATGACCTTTGACCTCAGACATCATCAAACTGATTGGCTTGAAGGGACTGGACTGCTGGTTTAATATTGATCACCACTCAGTGTGTTCACATTTCATCATAGATCCAATTGCGGTCAGTGATGAGAACTGGGAGCAAAATAATTCTTATTAATTCTTATAATTACTAAATAAACATCTGGTTGTTTAAAATGGATAAAACTCAGTTCACATGTATCAGATTATGAATGTATCATCTTTTAAGCAATCTATGAATTCTCTCTTATTTGGGCAGACGGTATTGACCTACATATGACTGCTGCCATAGTTCCTGTGTTTCTTTTGGTCATTATGTGTCCTTATGAGTGTGTGTGCGCGTGTGTGTGTGTATGTGTCATTGCTCCAAACAGTGTGTTTCATTGATTTCATGCTCAGTGTTGATCGCTTTGTCTTGGCTCCATTTATTGGAATGTATATCTTCCAGATTGAGTTGGGCAATCAATATATTGACATTCATTGTCACTATTTCGATGTACCAATTTGTCATGTTGCCCAACCCTAGTACTCATTCTAAACCCTGACACTACTTCTCACTAACAGTGCATGTTCATTAAATAAACTTCGCTATGTTATAATGCGGCATGCTGTCATACCTGATGTGTGTATTCATGTTCATTAGAAAATTACATCCACCGTTACTGCACTACAAACTGAATGACACTGGTGTACCCTGTTGATGTAAAGACTTATGAAGGCTGAAACACTGTGTAATGTATTTTGACAGGTTTATCTAGTACTGCAATAATACAGTAGAACATTACAGGTTTGGTAAATGTGTATTTGACAGGTGTAGACAGAGAAATATGAAAGATGCATTATTTTCTAAAAGGGAAATCAGAATATGCTGAAGTAAATTCTGTACATATATGCAAAGTAAGTGAGCTAGTTTCACAGTCATGGATTAATCCAGTCTGAAAGCATTTCCCTCAGCAGAGATGTACAATGAGTAGCAACGCTTTACTTAAAACTGACAGTTTAAACTTAATTTTTCTATTCCTGTGTCTCCGCCCATCCCCCACCCCCTCTCCCCTCCCCTCCGCAGACGTGGTGCAGACCCCGGGCTTGACCACCCCGACCCCTCCCCCACCTCCACCCCTGCCACCCGGTTCCACTGTGACCTCCGCGGCTGCCACCCCGGCTGCCACCCCCTCTACCCCAGCCGGCCACCCTCCCCCACCCCCACCTCCTCCTCTCCCTCCTACGCTGACTCCAGGCGGGACCCCCCCTCCTCCACCAGGTCCGCCCCCTCCTCCCGGAGCCCCCCTCCCTCCCCCAGCGCCTCCCCTTCCCGCCGGACTCTTCTCTCCTGCCGAGGACCGTCCCACCTCAGGCCTGGCCGCTGCCCTCGCCGGAGCCAAGCTGCGCAAAGTGCCAAGGGTGAGCGCTTGATTGGTTGTGTGATCAATGGAGGGCTTGACAAGCCACATCTGTACCATGCAAGTGACAGTACATAGATATTAAAGTGATAGCTGCACGTGTTTCAGGTTTCAGAATCAGGGACAATAGCACAATGACATGTATTGGACGAGGGAACGGGTCAGCTGAGTAATAACAGCACAAGTAGTAATAAAGAGTAAATAAGATAAAGCAAGATAAGATAAGACAGTGACGTATGATGTACGATAAGATGGAAGGACATACATAAAATAAAATATAAAATATAGCAAATACGAAAATGAAGATTGTGTGTAAAAGTAAGTGACAAGTTGCACACACAGAATGCTGTTTCTCTGTCAGTCTTTGTGTCCTTTGTTTTCAGTGCAACTCTGACTTGACAGAAACACTGTTAATACACACACAGCCCTCACACATTATTTTCATACATAATCACACAGAATCACTGTCACTGAGGCACTCATGCACACACAATCAGACACACACACACACACACACACACACACACACACACACACACACACACACACACATAGTCACCATCTGTCACATCTCATCTCAGCCTCAGAGGAGGTTTATATGTAACGCTGACCGCCTTCATGCAAAACACTGCATGTCTGCCTGTGTGTATAACATGACAAAACATAGAACTCAGCTAGGAATTGGATGGAAAACATTTAGCATGTTTCAGTATTTTTGGATTTTCTGATATAGAATAGTTTAGTTATAATAGTTTTAGTTCTTTTGCAGCTCTCAAAGTCAGGTTAATACATCACTCTGATTGTAAAGAACTTGTTACATTTGTGTTTAATAAGTGTTGTTGCTTGTTTCCCTTCAGAGTGATGATGCAGGGGCAGCTCTGGCAGCAGCCATGTTGGGGGCCGGAGGGGCCAAATCTGAAGCCAGGGGCAACGGCCCTTTGCCCGGAGGAGGAGGGCTGATGGAGGAGATGAGCGCCCTGTTGGCCAGGAGGTAAAGTCACATCACATGTCATCGTTAGCCCCATTATATCTCAGTCTTGGCACATATGCTGTTTCTGATGAATTCAAGATCTTGTTTCCTATTGCAGAATGTGAAATAAACATTCTGTGGTTCTTATTTTTTTATTAAATGTATTTATTCTGAGTTTATCTGTAGTAAAATCATATTCAAACTGTATTTTATAGCAGTCAAAGAAACTGTGAAATTAAGGTAGATCTGAACTGAAGGCTTTACTGAAAAAGGGTTTGAGCTGTGGTCGATGATACTAATGTCAAAAAACGCAACTTGTTATTCAGCATGAAGTCACTGTATCTGGTCTTTATGTCCTACAGGAGAAGAATCGCAGAGAAGGGCTCGTCACCTGAACCTGACCAGAGATCAGTAAGTATCATCAGTCATATCTGTCATATGTACATTTTGTTTGATCTAGGTCCAGAATTTCATTTCTTACCGCTCACTGCTGAATCTCACAGTTGCTCCTTTGTGTGATAATAACACTCAGGGTTTCCTCAGTGTGTCCGGGCTGTACATGGTGGACTACATTCACTGCATTCCTGTGTGAAATGAGTCCACAATCACTCAGTGCTTTGTCTGTGTGATGGTCTGCGTGCCTTGGGTGGATGCCATGTAACACATTCCAGTCTTTAATTACTACTTTCACATAGCATAAAGTCTCAAATACCTGAACTGCAAGAAAACAACAGGTTTATGTTAGCCTTTATTTGTAATGCATAAATGTATTTAATTTTAAGGAGGATGTTTCCCTGATTTTGATGTTGTGATGAATAAACTACAGTGTACATTTCTACAACACTTATTCCATCAGTGCATGTGAGACTCTCCTCTCTGCTGCTCTGAGTTTCTCTCTTTAAACAGAAATGCTGCTTTAATTTGCTAATTGAGTCCAGTCACTTGCACTTTGATGTTGTCTGATCAGCTTTAAGCTAACGTCAATAAAACTGGACACTTCATGTGCACACCTTTCACATGAAAGGTCCTCCAGCAGCTCAAGGGGCATTATGTGCCCCTTTCTGGTCAGCTTTTAATGTGAAACATCTGCATCTTTATTTGTTTAATTTTCAGATACATTTTTTAATCCCAAATCATTTGACCACAAATCAAGTGGGTGGTGTTATTTGAGATGTTATTTACCCCTTTATTATTTTATAGCATTTGATTTGACACATAAGCTATGATCTCAGGTGTTTTGAACTTTAATTAAAACACAGTCAAAATCTGTTTGTGTCTTAATGTTGGTGTTGCTGTGTATAAACTCTCCTCTGAGGGGACTCATGTTTGACCTTTGAACTTTGTGTGTCTGTTCAACAGGAGGAGGGCGAGATAAACACAACCCCTAAAGTGTCAGCCTGTAGCACACCAGGTGAGTTTCAGAGGGAATCTGAAGACTGAAGGGGAAACATCAGAAACAACAACAGGAACTAATATGCATCTTCCTAATACAGGCTACAGTGATCCAAGTTAGCATGAATCTACATTTCCCCTTAGTTTTCATCACTGCAGATCTGCTATTTTCTGGTTATTGGAAGTTAATTTGCTTTTTTTTATTATGATTACCATCACCAGATAGCTGAACTCTATTTCATTTGGTAAGAGGAGTTCTGTTTTCATGTTTTTTTGCCGTGTTTTTGTTTTGTTTTTCGTTAGACATGCCCAGGAAGCCATGGGAAAGAACAAACACCATGAACGGTAGCAAATCTCCAGTTATCGGAAGGTACAGTACATCTCCCCCTCTCTGTTCAACATGTAGTTTCTCAGTATTTGTTGTGTAATGTTGTACTGAAAGTACATTTTATATGCTAAAGTTGTTCACAAGTTTAATTTTCCGAAGTATATTGTATCTACATCATAATTCATGTGTGTTGCCTCTCTGAATGGCTAGCAGCGATGCTACTAAACATCCACCACAGGGGCACATTAAAGCATTAGCATCAGCTAGCTTTAGCATGATGCACTGCTGAGGCCGTTCAGCAGTGGCTAACATCACTTAAGCTTGTGCCGCATTCATGTGCACGTTATATGTACGTTAGACACCCAACTTTAAGCTGAGGTGTCTGTGTGTGAATGAAGATGAAGAGGATAGTGTCAAATTTAGCTAAGCAGTTGTTAAGACTACTGATTTTGTTGGATGTTGTCCATTCTAGATTTAGGTTTCCTTAATTTCACTGCTAACTTTGGGTGACATTTGGTGGTTAACATCCAGCCTGTTTGGCTTATAGGGTGAGTTTGATTAGATTAGACTAGATTGTTTTGATGTAAGTTGCTGAGTTTGGCGATATCAGCTGTTGTCTGCCTTCCCTCCAAAATACTATAAGTGGAATTAGATGGCACTCAGCTTGTTGTGAACATGTAGGAACTATTTTCTTTCTACCAAACTATACACACCAACCGTATCACTGCGCAAAAGGAAACATGCATCTACTGCTACCTCACCTAGCACAACTGAGCTAGCTAACGTTACAGGTCAGCTAGCTCAGTTGTGCTAGGTGAGGTAGCAGTAGATGCATGTTTCCTTTTGCACAGTGATACGGTTGGTGTGTATAGTTTGGTAGAAAGAAAATATACACACCAACCGTATCACTGCGCAAAAGGAAACATGCATCTACTGCTACCTCACCTAGCACAACTGAGCTAGCTAACGTTACAGGTCAGCCAAGGAGGATGCCATTAATATTTATGTCTTGTGCTATCATGAGCACAGGCTCTTGTTTATGAGTAGATGCACTCTTCCTTCTATGCGGCCATATGGTTGGTTGGTGTAGTTTGATAGAAAGAAAATAGTTCCTACATGAAGCTGCTCACAACAAGGTCTGTGGATTATCTTGAGTAACCAGGTTATGATTTCTGGAAAGAGACATTGCTGTTGAGTTTTTCAAATGTATTTTTTTGCCACTTTGAGCACCACAAGCTGAGTGCCATCTATTTCCATGTATATTGGAGAGAAGGCAGACATCTCTACAGCTGATATCTCCAACACTCTGCAACTCACACCAAAACAAAATATATGATTAATAGCACTACAGGTAAGAGGAAAAATATGCATTTGTGTGTTTTAAGGTTCAGTAGCATTCTTTTAAATGAAATGTAAATAAGGAAGGTAAGGAAGTGTGAAAATGAGTGCATAGTAGCCTTTTGAAAAAAGCTAAGTGGCCGTTATAAACAGTCCTGACCCAAGGCCACCTCATTATGCTGGGGACACACACACAGATAGATGCTAAGCTGTAATTTGTAAAGTCAGTGTCTCTGCTGCTCACACAGACGAGAGTCTCCGTGGAGAAATCCCATGGGAGCAGATTCCTCCAACAGGTAGAGAGAAAAGGCCCCGGAGAGTTTGAGAAATCCTGTTCTTTAAAACAATCATCGAGGTTTGCTGTGATGGACGTGGTTTTATTGGAGAGGGGTTATCTTCAAATGCTTGGATGAAACCTTTGGAATCCTGTGTTGTCTTTGTGTTCTTTTCCAAATGTACCAACCTGCAGGGGCTAGCTCTGTCTGCTGTTTGATACGTGCCATCCGGTTCAATAAGTCATGTGGTGCTTCCTCAACCAGTTATTGATTTCTAATGTGATCTAGTCATTGCTTCTGCATGCTGCTCTGCCTGCTGCCCTTTTTCTTTCTCTCTTTAAAAGAGGGAAACTCAAATGTGCGTGTCACATACTGTACATCCACCCTATCATACACACCAACACACAGAAATTTGTGTCCGCCCAGTGCAGAAGAGACTTGGCACAGTATTATCATTGTAGAGCCAGAGCAGATCCAGCAGGCGCTCACAGATAAGGCCCCACTGTGAGTGTAAGTGTGTGTGTGTGCGCGCTCATGCACGAGAGAGGAGACCAGATGGGTGTTTTTTATTCCAGTTTATTATAAGTAACTTTAATATGTGGCCCACAGAGAGCTGAGCACACTTTTTAGAGCACATGATCTCGTAACGCTGCAGGTTTTTATAGCATTTTACACTTTTGTTGACTTCTTATGATATGGATTAAATCATCCACTCAGTATGAAATTACAGATGAAAGAAGAATTTATGGCAATGAGCCAAACTGCTGTTGAATTGTAAAAGAAACCTCTATGAATTCCCTTTTTTCTTCTTTTGACGATTGTAAAAAATTATAGGCACACAAAACATTTATTGGACTGAGTGTAAAGTGTGCAGCTGTGACTTTGAATCAGTTTCTTTAGTTCGCTCTACCTGCATTATCTTTACACTGGAAACAATCTGAAAAGTAAAGGACCACAAGCACAGTTTCCGTGTTCCGGTATGCAGTATTTCCACCCCATAGCTACTACATGATCCGCTGCCGAGCTCATTTCCTTTTCTTTCACTTCTCCTTCCTGTCACACTTCCTCTCTTGAAAGTGGTTGGCTGCTCAGTGAATTTCCCCCCCTGATGACTCTCACATAGCGTAAGGACCTCTCTCAGTGTGGCTGCTTTCCTGACTTGCTGGCATCCTCCTGGCTTATCGCTTTTCTTCAGACATGCGAGGAGAAAAAAGGAGCTGAGCTGCTCATAGGTTGCACCTGGGCAGCAGGTTTCACTGACAGATGCAAACGGGAGAAATAAGTCTTTTTGAGGAATATTTGAAATAAATGACACACGGACACCTGCTGCACTATAGGAGGATGTTCTTAAGTTTTATAAATTGTTGAGACATCACCTCTTTATGTGTGTGTGTGTTTGCTTTTGTGGGCTTACATGCATGTCAAGGCGAGTGCACTTCCTTAAGTGTGTGTGCATGCTGTGACCAGGAGTTTGCTTCTAACTACTGTTTTGGCACCATTTTTTTGTACAAATGAAATGAACTAGTAGAGAATACCTGAACAAATAAGTCAGTACATTAGGTTTTTGCTGTCAACCAACTGAAAGGCTCAGGAAAGAGCTTCCCTGTGTGTGATGATAATCGTAATTGTTTTTTCAGGTTTACAGCATAAAAGTTGAAATTATATTTCTTTACATTAGACATGTTCAGTTTGTGTCATATTTATCCAGCTACTCTTAAAGTCCAGATGAGTTGCAGTCTAATGCTGTATCTCAAGGCTAGTTAATAGTACTTCAGATGCTGGTATGAAGTCAAATGCTGTGGTTTTAGTGATCGCGATAATTCAGTTAGTTTTGACCTTTGAGTGTCCTGTTTTTCCATCTCATCCTCTGTCTCCTTTTCTTCCTTTTCCGCTGAATTTATTTGTGTGCTTTGTCTCTCCTCGCAGACCTAAATCCACTCCTACACCTACTGCATCCTTAAGTGCCAACGGTGTGCCAACAGAATCTGTTGACTATGACAGGTTGAAACAGGTAGGTGAACAGACATTCAGTGACTTGAAAACTTGTTTTTGTCATTATGTCACTGCACATGATAGGTGGAATATTATTTTGTCATGTGGTGTCTAGCTGTGTCAATATGTGACAAAATCAGTGTTAGAAAAATCAGCCAACCAGAATAACATTCCTCTTGAAATTGGTAGACAATCTGTTACGACAAGAAAAAGGCAGCTGTGTAACAGTTTTTACCTTGGTGCTGTACTTCATATAGATCAGTGCAGTATTCTACATCTTTGTCACTGACGCTTGCTTCTTACGCATGCTTTCACGTATTAAATGGTTTAATGCAATTGCTTCAGTTTCTTCCAATTTCATGTACTTTGTTTCACCTTTTTGAATTTCTTAAAGGAATACTGCACCCACAAAGTGATAATGTGTATATCAATTACTCACCCCATATAAGGTTGAATTCATGAAGGAAACTTTTTTTCTTGTGTGCCTCCATTGTGAACAAGGAATCCAAAAACTGAGAAAATTCTTGATGAATTTAAGTAAATGGGGTCCGCGTATTTAACAACAAACTATATCAAAACATTCATGTACAAACTCACACAACTTGTCCAGTATAATCAATATCTCATTTATGCTCATATGCTCAGTTCTTCCCAAACATATGCATTTTTCCGTACTATTTCAACCACCCAAGCATTTTATGCAGCTACTTAGCATGAGATCAGGGCTGCCCCCGACTTAGAATTTTCCTAGTCGATCAGTAGTCGTCATTTAGGGCCATCAGTCGACTAGTGGCTCACATGTTTATGATAATAATTTAATTACTAAATGATATATTTTGGGTGGGGCAACACAATGGTGTGAGTTGAAGGTGTGAGAAAGAATAGTATCAGTAACATTGTTAACACTGTGCTACATTACAGAGAAATACAAAACCGTACTAATGAACCTTCATTAATATAGGCCAATATTTTATCTACATGTCACACACTGAGCGAGCCGCCTGTTAATGACACTGTCGGCAAAGCAGTAATGAGTGGCTAATGGGCATGTAGCTACTTACATGTTTCAGATGATACATCATGTTTGTAGTCAACGAATGAAGTTTACATTTGACCATGGGTTCGTCTTTCACCTTCTCAAAATGATCCCACACTTTGGATTTCCTGCCCGACATGTTATTAACTAGCCTGTAGTATAACTGCAGGTACCAGCCCTGGAAATTAATGTGACGCCTGTCTGGCTGCTGAGCGTGGTCACTTCTTGTGTCTGTCCTTTCAAATTAAATTCCCACATGTTCCAGTCATATAGGTTTTGATGTATATTGACAAGGCGCAGCTCTTAATAGTTTCTTTAACCAAGCAACCAATGAAATCTTTCCAACTAATGACCTTTCTGGCCAACAAATGTTGATTGATTATTAGGGAGCAGCCTTACATGAGACCTTTGACATTTCCATAATATCCATAGATAATCATTAATATTAGTCACATACATTTGTATGAAACACAGCTGTGACAAGTAAACTCTTGAGGTCTTCATGTAATTATAATCCAAGGTAGTGAGTTTTTAAAAATGAATCTAAATTGGTTTTACTAATGACCTGCTTATTAAGATGCTTATATTTGATATTTCATTGTGATTATGCAGTCAAACTGCTCATCTCAGCCATAACATACACTGACACAGGGAAGGTCATTTTTTCCCTCTAACTAATTATGCAGCCGTGGTGCGAGGAGAAACCGCGTGGGTGTGTGCAGTGACCCGTCTTGTTATAAGGCAGCTCCTCCCTCTGACCTCTGTCAGTGAGCCTGCTAGATAAGTCCAGAGTCTCTCAGAGCCCTGCCTATCTGCTACCACAGCTCCTCACAGCAGTGGGACCACGAGACAGATGACACTTGTATATGACTATACTCGCTGTTACACTTTCTCATTCAGCCTGACTTGGAGGCAAAAGAGTATAGCTCAAACTCCATAATACTGATTTACTAATCTCCTCGCACTTTGTTTACGTCTTGCTGTTATTAAGTGAGTCTTAAGGCCTAATCTCACAGGGAGTCCCTACACAGGGATTAGCTACTTTGTAAGGAAGACGGAGAATCTCCCTTTGCCAGTTGGCAGTGCCTCCACCCAACTAAATCCAAAAGCCAGAGGAAACTTTGTCTCTCTGTGTCAGCATGTGCTCTCAAACTGGACTGAATTTTCAGTCATATATACAGTGTTACAATGTTGGATGTTTATGTTAAACATTGCCAACATTTCAAATAATTAGGTAAACATATGTAAAAGTAATCTTTGTGAGCAAAACCTTCAGGCTTTTCATCGAAAACGTCATGCCCCTGCGCTGGCGATAGCATTGCCGACGGCATTATGTTTTCAGATTGTCTGTCCGTCCATCCATACATATGAATGTATGTACATTAGTCCAATCCTTGTGAATGCAATATCTCAGTAACAGCTTGAGGGACTTTCTTCAAATTTGGCACAAACCTTCACTTGGACTCAAGGATGAATTAATTTGAAATTTTGGTGGTCAAAGTTTAAGGTCACTGTGACCTTGTCTGTCTCATTCTTGTGAACGCAATATCTCAAGAACATCTTAAGAAAATTTCTTCAAATTTGACACAAACATCCACTTGGACTGAAGAATAATTTTGTGGTCGAAGGTCAGAGATCAAAGTTAAGGTCAGTGTGACCTCACAAAATATGTTTTTGGCCATACCTCAAGAATTCTTACACAAATTATGACAAAACTTCGAACAAATGTCTTATAGGATAAAATAATAAAGTGATGACATTTTATATCCAAAAGGTCAAAGGTCAGCTTCACTATGACATCATAATGTTCTGCATAAAACACTTTTCTGGCATTAAACACCATATCTCAGGAACAGAAGGGAAGCCATTTGGTCAGATGCATAACTGGTGACACTAATCTTGGGTGCCCAACCTGAAACAGTGCTGATTGTATAGATCTTCTGTGCTGCTGGGGGGAAGATGTGTGTGAAGCATCCATGTTTTCAGACACGGATGTAAACTGTAAGAAACTTGAGTGGTGCACAGAGGCATACAGCCATGGTAATTCTAGTTTTCTACTGTCAAGACAAGCTGACGTCAGCTCGTGACAGATATCTTTATATGTTCATCTGCTTCAGGCACGCTTCTCCAAGTGTTTACATTACGTACACTGCTACATCTAGCTACATGCTAACATCGGAGAAACATGTAACCTTTGTTGCCAATGTTATTTTTCCCCTGATTTTGTATCAAATTCCTGCTGCAGCATGCCTTGTTGTTAAGATTGTGGTTTAGCCACTTTTATTGGGCATTTTTCACAGTAGAAAGCGCCACTGTACTCTGTTACAGTCATTCACTGGCTGCAAGCAGCCAACACTGCTACATGTAGCTACATGCTAGCACCTGGGAATCACGCAATCTCAGTTGCAGACGTTGTTAATCTCTCCCAAATTTCGGATCATATTCCTGCTGAAACATGCCTGGTTGTGAAGATTTTGGTTTAGAAGCTTTAATTGGTGATTTTTGTGACGGTGCAGAGATACGCAATCTGAGAAAAATGTTGTTTTATGTTTTTTAGCATTAAAGACTGTCCAAGGGGAGTGGAATGTGGAAAGACTGTTTTGTCTTGTCTCTGAGGTCTGACATGTATCACGTTTATGTATTGTAAGGTGACTTTTTTTTTGTTGTTTTTTTAGGACATTCTGGATGAGATGAGGAAGGAGCTGTCAAAGCTAAAAGAAGAGCTCATTGATGGTAATTATCACTGGAACCTCTGCTCTCTTTTCATACAGCAAACATTTAGACATCTCTCTAATAGTAAATCTATACATTAAGCACATAAAAATGACATTGCAGTGGTTACTCTGTCTTTTGTCTGTTTTATCTTTCTTTCTGTCTTGTTTGAACTGTTTAGATAGCTGATATTTCCAGGGGTTATGTTTAAACTGAAATGCTGACTGAAGACAGGAAGTGAAACATAGTCTCTTGTCATACCATAATACGTTTGTCAAAGGTGCTGTGTTATTATGACTCATTACATATAGCAACTCAGAATGTGGTTTATGTTCATGTGAGCATAAGCAGCCTGTTCACATGCATCAGTGTATGGAGCTGCAGCACTGATGTTATTGCAGCAGTAGGCAGACTTTTGCGGTGTGCTGCTCTGCTGCAGACAAGTTGCCTGAGGGTTTTCATTCAGCACAGTAGCCCAAACAGACACTACTGTACGTTGGCAGAGCAGCCCCATGCTGGTCCAACCTTTTCAGAGGGATGTCAGAAATGTGTTCTAGTTTTCTGATCAATTTTATGAGCTGCTTGTTTGTGACACCTCAAGACAAAATATGAGGATCTGAAGTCCGTATAAAGTAACATGCCTTTCAAAAATAATGATGCATCTACCAATGCTACCAGGGGTTATACTTAGAGCAATGAAACATGAGCAAGGCCAGATTACAAACTAAATTAGAAAACACAGGAGGCTCATAGGGGCCCACAATGTCCACTAATGGGTTGATCCAGCCTCGAATACTACTACTACTCTGTTCTACTGATTTATTACTACTTGGGACTTATTGTACTTATCACAGTAATTGCTGAGTTTTGCGAACATGGTAAAAAGCTCAACACAAGCGGTCAGACAGGTTTAAAACAAGCCAACGGTACATCCATATAATCCAAACCACTTTAATTGGAAGTCAAAAGGTCAATAATGGCCTCTCATTACACAGAAAACTGTGCGCCAGTCTTTAAACCATGGTGGATGCTTGCAGCAGACAGTTTATAATATTTATACCATTCACTTTTATTTTTTTCTTCCAAATAAGTTAAAATGGGACTTTGTTTACTGTAAACTGTGTCTGATCATCAGACCGCTCATCATTCTTGCCCCACCAACAGTAATGTGCATCATTAACTAGTTAAAAATCATCACCTCTTCAAAGTCAAACTCCATTGGGAAAACAGGAGATGAACACCTGAGTTGCCCTCATCCATAGCAGTACATTACTTAGCTTCTGTGGCAGTAATGCTGTTTGTTTCTCCAAACTGGGGGTGTGCCAAAGTCACCTACTGTATGTAATACATTGACTATGGATAAGTACCTCATATAACCCCACTTAAAAAGATCACTGTAAGTGGTGTTTTGGTACCTTACTATAAGCCACACATTGCTGCAACAGCCCTCTGAAAAGGTAGGACCAACCTGGAACTCCTCTTCCCAGGCAGAGTCGAGCTCATGTCAGAAACAGCTGGATGATTCTCACATGCACACCTCTGTCTTTCTCTTTACTTCCTCAGCAATCAGGGAGGAGCTGGGAAAGTCCAGCACGGCGTAGAGGATCCTCTTCACAACATCTATATCCACGCAACCTGACAGACAACCACGGTCAATTTAAAGACACAACATTACAACAGCGGAAAATAAAATCAGCAAAAATGGGGATGATGACAATAATCATATTAATACTGAGAGAGGACATTATTTGGGGCAGCATCGGACAGAATAACAATGGACAGGGTGGTGGTGGGAGGCTTGTAACTCTGATAGCTGTGACTCACAGAATCCATTCTACGAAGCCTTGTGCGTCCGCTGCCTCCCCGCCCCTCCCCCTCCTCCTGCCGAGGGCATCCTGGAGGACAGTGCACGGTCTGAAAGAGAAGCAAATGTCTTTATGCAAAGATGAATTCTCTCTCTTTGTCCTATAATAACAAGAAAAAACACAAGAAAACTATATTGAACTCTTCAGTGATACTGTATTAACCATTGGCGCATAAGTGAACAGCAACGTCGATGCTAAGAATCTTGTGATTTACTATCAAACGGCACGTTTTATTAAGAGAGTTTGGAGACAGGAAGAAAGTGGGGATGGAAAATAAAAACTTTTTTTCCCATAATGCCATAGGGGTAGCGTGCGTGCGTGCGTGCGTGCGTGTGCGTGTGTGTGCGTGTGTGTGCGTGTGTGTGCGTGTGTGTGTGTGTGTGTGTGTGTGTGTGAGAGAGTGTATGGGGGACTGACAGTCTCTGGTGAAGTCCACCACTGCAGGACACTGTAAAGCTTGTCTTCCTCAAATACTATTTTAACCTGAATATGTACAAAAGAGAGAAAAAGTTATTTAGAAAAAAAAAAAAAGCATCTATCAACCATGTCTGTTTCAGTGTAGATCTACGGCCATATCAAGTAGCTCAATAATCCAATCTTTAAACAGGATGCTGTCTTGTCTGTCTCTTCTTGTCGTCTCCCTCCTGAAGTGAGCGCTCTGTTGACACTTTTCATTTCTTTGTTCATACTGTTGAGCGGCAGGCGGACGAGACACGGAGGATGGCTGCCTGTCAGACGGCAGCCATTGTAGCTCTCTACCAAACTTTCTCCGTCAACGATAAGTGCTGATTTGCTAATACCTGTCATGCTTTTTGACCATGGCCAGACGTGTAGATAGAACTGAATTTCCCTTCCTGTACGTTTTTGATTTGAAGACTCTCTCTTCCCCCTTTCTTTGTTACGTCTGTCACATTAAGGTACTCCGTTTGGTGCATGTATGGTTGTTTTCTTTATACAGTGAGGGTCACAAGTCTGCCACGAAATTGCATTATCTGTCGCAAGTTTTATTACAAGCAATAAGTGTAGCATCTATTTTGAAGCCCACCTGCCCCAGTCCTGACACCAACAAACACTTTTCAATGTCCGTCTGTCCTTTTTGGCCCTCCTGAGCCCCCATTAGACAATGTCACTGTATGACACACCACGCCACTTCTTGTCAACTCTATTGCAGATCTTTTGTTAAACTGAAGGCTGACATGAAAGAATATCAGCGCAGCACTGTAAGACATGAATTTCATGGAACAGCACCATTTCTAAATCACAATACCCTCCCTTTTTTAATTTCTGATTTCTATAAATTCCAAGGAAACTGTGTCTTTAGTCACATTGGAGCTGAACTGATTTTTTATCCTTTATTATTATTTTTAGTTACTTTACTGCATTTATAAAGTAAAACTTTTAAAAGGTGCACGGGACATCCCAAATGTGTAAGAGATGGTGTCCAAAAGAGGACCTGAATGTGCCATTTACTATTTCTAGTGCTTACTGATGACGTGTTTGTTTCATCTTTTTTTTCTTTGCCTTCTTCTCCTGCCAATGTCAAATCCTTAAAATGAAAAACTGTATTTTCCCTGAGATGTTACACAGATAACAGGACTGTCACTTTATTCTAAGAACACTCTTGTTTCAACATTTTTTTTTGTCAGTTTAGTGATGTTTGTTTAACTTGAAGTACAATCAACCTGAGAGGGACATGTTGGGAACTGCAAGACTGATTTCCAAATACTGTAGCTGTTGCTCCAAGATCACATGTCAAAGTAACAGATACAAACCTGTGTTACAATTCTGTACTCTGAAATCCTGAGGAGGGACAGTTCCACTAATACAGCGGTCTAACAGCCACCCACAGTGAGGTTTGCGGGACAAGCTTGAAAACAACCTTTTGACTTTCCAAAGGAATCCAGGGTGATAGGATATCTAAAAACAGTTGTAAAATGTTGTGTTTTAGCATCTATGAAGTGAATTTTGTGATATCTCAGTAGTTACATACATCAGATTGAGAACTCACAAGGCAATGCAGTGTGCATACTATTGCCACAGTTCATCCTTAATGTCACAGCTCTAGCTCCTTTGCAACAGTAACAGTATTTATAACTTAAAGGGGCACTCCAGTGCTTTAATTTTGCTGTTCCATTAAATCTTGAGACTTGCAATAGGCCTTTTTTGGGAAAAAAAAGAACAGTTAAAATTTAATCAGTAACAGGCAGAAATATCCCGATTTTTAGTCTTACAACTCCCATAATTCAACCTGATAGCATCCTTTCATTAGACACTCCCTGCCTGAACAATACAATCACTAGATAGAATTTGGTGTTGTACGTTTCTGCAAACCACGGATGTGTTATATTTATTTGATTCATGTTCAATTTCTACGTTTCGCATATAGCAGTTATTTTTCAAACTTTCTTTACATTTTCAATTTTATGTCTATGCTACACTGTGGTTAACATGTTAGGTTAAAGCAGAAAAATCACCTGGTAAGGCCGAGGAAAAGATCATGTTTTGGCTCAAAATACCTGGTTTTGTCAACATAAATATGGCTGGAAATGTTCCGACGTGTCATTAAAAAATACCCAGTATTGTCACCACAAAAACAGCTGAAAATGTCCCAGCATATCGTTAAAAATACCTGGTTTTGTCACAACAAATCACAGCTGGAACTATGCTGACATCTAGTTATAGGATACCAGGTTTTGTAGCCACAGACACAGCTAGAAATGTCCGATCATTTAGTTAAAAAATATTCAGTTTTGCCACCACAAACACAGCTGGAACTATCTTGACATCTTGTTATAAAATACCTGGTTTTGTCACACCGGACACAGCTGAAAATGTCCCAACATGTCATTAAAAATACCTGGTTTTGTTGCAACAAATACAGCTGGAACTATCCTAACATCTAGTTATGGGATACCAGGTTTTGTAGCCACAGTCACAGGTAGAAATGTCTGATCATTTAGTTAAAAAATATTCTGTTTTGCCACCACAAACACAGCTGGAACTATCCTGACTATCCTGACATCAGCTGGAAATGTCCCGAAGTCTCATTAAGATTACCAGGATTTTTTGCCACAAACGTGGCTGGAAATATCCAGACGTCTTGTTAAAAATACCCGGCTTTGTTGGTCTTTAACAGTGGTGTGCTGCTTTCTGCTGCTTGGCAATTGTCTCACCTAGGTATCTCCCCAAGGTGTCATGCCATCCACTCTCCCCTCCTCCTCCTGATGACAAAGTCAGCTCATATACATGTAATCTGAAGTATGTCAATTTAGAGATGTTACTGTGATACATGTGAAATGTACAAATGTAACATGTCTGTGGTTTGCAGAAACGTACAATGCCAACATTTTATTCTGACAACTGGGCTGCTGAAACACCACACTCTGTTTGTAACACTAAATCTTTGTTAAAATTTTGTTTTCTCCCTGTCAATAACCCTGGTGACATCATCACCTTTCTAGAAGACACTGTACAACTGTTTTCTCATGCTGAGTAGATTTCCTCATGACTGAACTGATCCTAGTGTACAACATTGTCAGAGTGCCCCTTGAAATTCAGATCAGGAGAAGCAGCTAAGGAGTTATGATGTCTTGCATGTACCCCAGAATCCTAGACAAAGGTTGGTTAATCGTTGGCTGTCTGTGGCTGTTGGATCTCATACTACACAACTCTGTGTTCAAGGGCTTGGATGTTTGAAGATGAGAAGTCACAGATTTGAGTAAAAATGTGTGCTCCCTCCGCTTTTCTCTCATTTGCTTCAGATTGGCTCAAATTTGTTAAAAATACTGTGACTAGAAAAATGAATGGGTTAACTAGGGTCAGGTCTGTTTCATGATCTCTCTGTGGAGTTGTTTCATCTTCTCATCCACATTTTTTTCTAATGGAAACACCCAGCCAAGAGGCTCCCTGTACTGAGTGTTTACACAGCATCAATTGCACTTTAAGACAAAAACCCGCAGAGCAATCCAACGTACTCTGACAACAGAGCCTCGGTCACCAACAGTGTGGCTTTCTCACCAAAGGATTCAACTCGGCAGTCTCTTGCTAAACGTAATCACTCTCAACAAAGTCGCCTTTCTTATTTTTGTATCATTTTGTGGAGAGATCTAACAAAAAGAAAGATGTCTGTCTCTATGTTCAGTCCTTTGGACAGGATGGAGGGTGAAATGTTTGGATCAAGTAAAAGTTTATCTCTTTGTGAAGCTATGTAGTTTGTGCCTTGTTCCGAAGTTGCATTTAATATGTCAAAGATATAAAGATGACTAGTAATAATATCTAGGGACTGTCATTATGATCACATGCAGTTGTTATTTAGTTTGGCTTTTTTTTCCATCATGGTCATGTTGATTTGAAGGGAGAGTTTTATGACCTTTTTACTGTTCCCCACCAAGAAAACATCTTTGCACCAAGATCTCCTATGTTTGTTTTTTTTACATACATGTGTTTATTTCCACACAGTTGTGAGGTTGCTTTTCTAACAGCTCTGAAGTACAATCAAGCCTTTGAGACATGAGGCCTGGAAGAGTTAAAAGATGATCTTCGCTCTGAGATAATTTTTCTAAACATAAAGTCCAGATGAGTCTGACTGCAGTGTTCTGTGATACCGTTTAAATGTCACAGAAACTGCGTGTGTTCAGCAGCTTAGCTTTCTTTACACACTTGGAAATGTGTTTTGTCCTCTGCAGTAAGGTCTGCTCCACATTGATGTCAGATTGCTGATGGAAACATTTCTCTTTGTCCGTAAACCCAGTTTTCTGCCGAGGGAACCGAGAGAATTGTGAATTTGCAGGGATGAATTTGGCTGAAGCAAGTTTTAATGGATGGGTTTCCAGATTTATTCTTTTATCATCTGCATTGTACCATACTGTTCTCATGTTAATTAGTCTTTTCTTACATGCTAACATATTGTTTTGTTTGAGCAAATTAAATAAAAATTGCAATACAAGACTAGAAGTTGTTTCTTTTAAAATGATGTTCACAGTTATGAACCTTGAATAGGGTTTTTCAGCTTTACTTGTGTTGGCCTCATCTTATTTTGCAGACTTTTATAATAAATATCAAACATAGAATGCCTCTTTGTTGCCATCATAGCATTTAACATCACAACATTTTTGCCAATGTTTTCTCTTCAAACTCCAGGTGAGAGCTCCATAGTTACTTTATAATTTACTAACTCTTTAAAGGAATACCTCACCCAAAAAATGATAATCTGTGTTATGATGTTATGTGTTGTTAAGTTGAATTTGTGAAAAAAAAACAAAAAAAACAAAAAAACAGTTTTTCTCGCATGCCTCCATGGTGAACAAAGAATCCAAAAACTGAGAAGATTTTTGATGAATTAAAGTCATGGGGTTGGCTTTTAACAACAGCAAAACTATACCAAAACATCCATTTACAAACTCTCACACAACTTTTACAGCATAAGTCTCATTTATCCAGGGATCTGAGGGGAAAGTAAAACCTGGTCTATAAGCTCTGACACACTAAGCCAACAGTCAGCTGTTGGTTAATGTTGGGCTGTCAGTGAGCATCTGTGGCCCTTGGTGCTGCAGTGTGTCCTGCACCGTTGGCCCTAGTTGGCTTTATTTCGCTGAATTAGCATGTGAAATCAGTGTCGACGACTGTGGAGCTCGTCAGTGAATGAAATCACTGATCTGTAGTTCAGCTTAGCGCACAAGAACAGAAACAGAAGTGAGAAAAGTAAACAAAGAGCAAAAGTCAAGGGGGAGTGAGACCAAAACAAACTTGTTTCATGAGTTAAGATTATTTTCTTTAACCACAAGCTCTTTAGCAGAAACTTTTCCTGATGATTTGTGTTATTGTTCACTTGCATGCTGAAAACACACTTTGTTCTTTCAACGTTGGATTGTGTTGTCAATGTGCTAACTAGCGTCAAGACGGTCTCCCGGCTTCCAGTTTTGAATGACGATTTCAGACGACCACCGTCTACTGGTGTGGAGAATTATTTCCTCTCCTGCAAGTGCAGAATGTAGGTGCTGGTCGTCTATCGGCTGAAGTCTTTATGGTGTGTTCATGTGCAACTTTTTGGCTGAGACACAGCAACGCCAGGGGATGCAGCAGGGGGGCTTTCATCGCTGCTAGTTCTCTGAAGTCAGTTTGGTGTGTCTGGGTCCTATGGTCTCTTCAAATCCAGACTCCACTGATAACAACAGTAATTTTACCTCGCTGAACATGGGAACTGCTGGTCTACCACTGCCTTGATCAGTCTGTGTTATTGTATAACCTTTGTGTTTTAAAGAGTCAGTTCAGATTGACAAAAAGTCACACAATACCATAAACAAATTAAATGAGTCAGTGGTAGACCAGCAGCTCCTCCATTCTGCGATAAAATTACTTTTTTTGTAAATGGAGTCATGGCCATGAAGAGAGCATAGATACATTTCACTTGTATTTCAGTACCCATCAGAAAGGGCTGTCTGATTGGGAATTACTGAGTGTACGACTACGTAAATGAGACATGGATTATATTGCACTAGTCGTATGAGAGTTTAACAGTTGTTTTCATATCTTTTTGCTGTTGTCAAACATGGTCTCCCTTTACTTCAGTTTGTGAAGAATGCTTGTTGTTTTTGCATTCTTCGTTCACCATGGAGGCATGCAAGATAAAGTTTTCTTAATGAATTCAGCATAACATGGGGTGAGTTACTGATATGCAAACAGTCATTCGGGGCATGCAGTGCTCCTTTAAGTCAGTGAAGTGACTCAGTTACACAGTTAATATCAGTTACACAGAAATATCTATTTATAGTTCGCTAACTTTAGCTAACATCAGCCATTATAAGCTACTTGTCATACCAGTCAAAGTAAGGCTGTAGCAGCAAAACCCCTGGGTGAATTCAATTGTGCAATAAAGGGTAAAGTTGTATTGCTTATAAGCCCAACTTTTAATTTCCAAGAGGAAAATTGTGTTAATTCTTCTTTCAAATGGTACAATGTGTCACTTCAGGTAAATCTTGACTTTGAATTCCCTGCAGACCTTAATCCCTCCTGGTGTGCCCTCATCTGTCAGTACACCAGGTCGGCCTCTGTTCCCCAGCCCAGTGACTCTGACAGCATGTTTGACAGCGCCTTACGCTCACGCTCAGCAGAGAACAGGAAGAGGAAGATGAGTGCATGCAACGTTTTTTATCTGTAAGCGTGACTGATGATGCATGGTGTCTTTCTGCAGTCCTTCCTTATTGTATGTCCTCTCAGTGAGCTGAGCCAAACTGCTGCTGCCTTGCTGGAGGGTGAAAGGAGGACAGGACTGGGGTCAAGACCAAGATTTGAATTTACAGTACTGCTAACTTATGGTTTGCACTTCCAGTGTACTCAGCCACAAGGAATATACTCACAGGATTTTGTACTGACCCTCCCACTCCTGCACAGCTATTTTTGTGGATCCCTTGCTTTTTGTGTAACTACTTGCAGATCCTTTAGTTCAAACTCAGCTGTCCACTGAATGTTTCTCAGAAAACTTGGGTCACTTGCTGGGGTCGCTGATGTATGACATGAGAGAAACAGGAGCTGGTCAAGAGAGAGATGGAGAGATGTGGAAAAAAGCAAAAGGAAATGTTGAAAGCACCAAATACAGTTTTTTTTCTGAGACAGAGTTTTTTTAAAAGACACAGTGACGGCTTATGACTTTTCTTCAATATCATTTACCATCAGCCAGTGTGCGTATTTATGTATTAATTTATACCTTTTGGCTGACACCTCCAAAGACTGCAGTTGCCACAAATATTCTCATACTTCAGGTTTGCCTGTGTCTAAGATTGAAGAGACTTCCCGCACTTTATTGCCTGTCTGTTTCTGTGTAGCTTCACTTACACCAATGCTTCCTGTGGGCGGGGCATAAGGAGGTCTGGCAGTGCATCTGCAGTTCATTTGAGGTTTTGTTTGACTTGCAGCCTGAGAAGGGCTGCACTGTGGCGACAGCTGCACTAAGACAGGAAAACACTCTGAACTGCAGGGAGAGAGAAAGAGAGAGAGAGAGAGAGACCGAGATGAGGAAGCTGAGAGAAGGTTGATGCTGTAATTGGATTGGAGAGTTTGAATTTTCAAAATCAGTTTTCCTCCTCTTATTGTGTTTATGAGTTTAGGGTTTGAGCAGCAGGTGTCAAAACACTCAGGTCACCCATAAGCATTTGCTTATATTAGACAAGGCGTGCAGCGTTTACTGACTCTTCTCTAGGCTACTTAAAGGTTACGTTCTAGTGACTTGGTTCACTTGCTGAAGGTGGTTTGATGCAATCACTTTCATCTGATGGTGCACTTTACTACAGAGATGCTATAGCATTGCAGATTATCAGTTCAATTAATCCTTGAAAAGTTTCTTTTTTATGGTTTCCTCATGATACCAGAAATATGGGGACAGATATGTGTTTACTATGTAACATAATTTTAGTAATATGCTTGAGCATCTTCTTTAATGTGTAGTAAATGTTTTAATGAATGCACTAAGTTCTGCATCACATCTGAACACAGTGCAACAGTGCAGTCTATGACAATACTGACCCTTCCAATTGATTTAATACACCTGTCTGTGGAGCTTGATTTTTCCAGTAGCGCAGCATGATAACAGCTTCCCTGACAGAAAATGGAAAACATACAATTTCTTCAATTTTTATTACACACAGAAAATCACTTTTGCCTTGAGCATAAAATGTGAGAATGGATGTTAACAGGCCAAATTTGATGTCCACTCAGTTTCACCAAGATTCTTGCTCTTGGTATTGTAATAGCAGGCGACATTTTTAAGTATAGTGGTAATTATTATCTTACATTATTATGTTAATTTCCTGACAAATTATTTTCCATTATAGCCTCTGTTTTAGTGTTGGTAATATTTTATTAAATTAGGCTTATTATGAAGCAACAGGTGTTTCTGCCATTTATAGATACAAGGTTTATTATGAGGTATCCATTTGCCACTTCTACCATTTTGTCGGACGGAAATTTGACACCAGTAAACAAAGTAGTCGTGACTCCCTTTCAGCCAATCCCAAGTCATTTAAAATCCACCGCCAACCAATCAGATGACAGAGCTGTTTGAAATGAACGCTGAATAAGCCAATCAGCAGCCTTCGCGCCTTCCTAGTCACTGGTGGGTTTTGCCCAGAGAGGGAGGGAGAAGGAGCGCTACGTCAAACGCTAGCACCGTCAGTTTTTAAAATATAAATCTTAATTTATTAATTCCTCGTCTCGTCAAGGACTATTTTATCAGTTTCACTCACTGAGACGACTCGCGTATTATCAAGGTAAGTGTATCCGTCCAACCCATATGCTTGTGATGCAAAATAGCAAATCGCTTTTGGTTTCTTTGTTGGGAAATTAGGTCTTAGCCGAAGCTAACTCAAGCTGGCTGTATAACGGCGCTCGGTGAGTAGGCTCCGACTATTTCCTGGAGCCTTGACTTGTTTCCACTTGTGCTCATAAAAGTACTTTAGGAACTGTTAGGTTGTATATAAACTGCCAACCTTTCCCCTTAGTGGCTCATAGTTTTATTAAAATTGTTTGCTAGTTCTGGCCAACAGCACTGTGACGTTAACAGTGCCGTTACGGACGCTGAAGTTAACCTCCAGATTAACGGTACGCACCCATTCGATTGCCAGAAATTAGACCGCGCCTGCTCAGCCAAAGACAACCTTTATTAGATTGTAACGCTAACATTAGCCCGGTCAACTTTGTGATTGCTTGCGCATGAAATTTTTTAAGTGTTTTGCTGGGATACGTCACTTAATTCAGCTGTGCCAAACTTATTCACATGTGCTTGCGGGTTGATAGTTTGGCTGATGCGTTTGTTTTCTTCGCCAGCAGTATTTGAATGCATGACGTTTTCCCTCCTTTCTTTCTGCTGCTTGCAGCTGCATTAGGGCTATCTTTAAACTAACAAAGCTAGCGTTAGGCGTACTTCGTTAAAGAAACAGCTCCCATAGATCAGCATTTAG